CGACAAAAAGTCATTGTTTATAAAAATTTTTGCTTCGTTTAAAAATGAGAATAACACTGAAAAATCTTAGATTGGGTCTACAGGGTGTTGCCAAATTAAGAAAACATGAAAATACCTCAAGAGAGAAGTACCATTATTTTTTATTTTACACAAAATTTTTATAAAAGAAAGTTGTTTATAATCTAAAATAAAAAATTTATAAAAAATGACTTTTTGTCGTAAAATGAATAAAAAATTTTCTCCTATAGGCAACCCCATCCGTGGACACACTGTATACAGTTGGTGCAAAACAAATATCAATGCACGTCACTACTGTCGTCATACTTACCAAGCATTGTGACCAACTTTTATGTATATTACATATTTTAAACGAACTTTACCTGTCTCCGAGTATACTTAGAGTATACTTAGATTATATTTTACGAGAATATTAATTACTTTTCCTAACATTAAACAGGGCGCGCCAGCATACACAAAATATCTCCGGCGAGGCTTCCTCCGGAAAAACCGAGTTTCCCTCATTTTCGCTAAGCGCCCGGCCCGTCGGGGATCCGACCGGCGTTTTCTCATCCATAAATTCAGCATTTTCTTCGAGGCGAACTTATTTTTCGTTTCCACGCGACTCGGAGAAACGCCGAAAAATACACGCAACTCGAGATTTACATAAAAAGGACCTCGTCCTTCTTTGTTTCGTTATCGAAGTACCTGTGCCGAATCCGCCTGATTTATAGCGCTTCCCGGGGAGTTCTAACTCACTGCGAACGGATGGATATGGAAAGTGAAAAAAATCGGCACAAAAATAACTCCAAATATCAGATATAAAATAACTTAGGGCAGATTTCTATAGCGTTCATCAAAACCTCAATGTATCCTATATACAAGAAAAGGAAGCTTTAAGATACGAAGTGTCCTATAAAGCCTTATTCCTAAAAGGAAAGGATGAGCGAGGATATATAGAATAGAATGGCCGGTATATACAGGGTGTTTCATTGGGAAAGGGCAATATTTTAACCCTATATAGAGGTCACCCAGGGGATTACAAAAAACCCATATACTATGGGTCTTGCGCCCTTTATAACTGAGTTACAGGGTGTTTTTGTAAATGTAATCATTGATTAATCAATGATTAATTATTAAATGAAATGAAATCATTTTAATTTTATTAAGTGCGGATCTGTAATTGTAATTTTTATTGGTTTATGTGAATGTTAATTCAAGTTCAATAGGTCTATTTCAGGAATTTTCATGAAAGTGTTAAGTAAATCTGGTTTTATTAAAGAAAAAATAATTAAAATCTCTTCAATTACAATTTACATGCATGGACCAAAAATCTCATAATGTACATTTTAACGTTTAAATTTTGGTAGAAAAACGGCATGCGGGAAAATAAAAAGTTGATGAATACATTCAGTTTTTTATGCTCTTTCTGAATTTGAAATTCAATTTTTAAAAATATGATGTATTGGGTGTTGTTTTAGGGTCGGTCAAATTTTATTAATTTTTCTAAATCCGGACCTGGATTTTGTAATTTTTTAATGTGGCAATAGATTGTCCTAAAGGTATAGAATATCTATGCCAAATATCAAAAAAATATACTGAGTGATTCAAAAGTTATAGGTGTCGAAAGAAATGGGCCAAATTCAAAAAACACCCTGTAACTCGGTTATAAAGGGCGTAAGACCCATAGTATATGGATTTTTTGTAATCCCATGGGTGACCTCTATATAGGCTTAAAATATTGCCCTTTCCCAATGAAACACCCTGTATAAGATTACCCGATCTTACACCATTACATATCTTTTAATGAGGATGTGTGAACCCGCGTGAACCTAGCACCCCCACCATAAAAAAAATAAAAAATCATAGATCATAATTTAGTGCTATTTTAGTGCTAATTTAGTGCCCACTTCCTAATTTTAGTGCTCGTCTGGTTGCGCAGAAAATTGCGATTGAAAATGGCGGTGCTAAGTTTATAAAGCTAGCATCCCAACATTTAAATATTTAAACAAAATTAAAAAATAATATATCGGAATTTAGTGCTATTTTAGTGCTTTCGAATGCACTACTCAGAATTTAATTTAAGGTATTATTGTTAAAGATACTTGATAAAAACGTATTGGAGTCAATAGAAAAACAGATAAACATAGAAAAAATACATTTAAACATAGTAATAGGAAAACGATTTTGATCTCTAATGTTTCAATGATTTTAGTGCTTTTAAAGTAGTTAATGTCAGATTTTAGTGCTCAACCCTTAAACCCAAAAAAAACATGTTTTTACCATTTTGTAGTCTGACCTCCAAGAGTAAAAATGTGATTTTTTGGGTTTAAGGGTTGAGCACTAAAATCTGACTTTAGCTATCTTAAAAGCACTAAAATGAACAAAGAATATGAAACAAAAATCATTTTTCTATCTATATTTTTAATGATACTTTACTCTTGGAGGTCAGACTATACAAAATAGTAAAAATGAGATTTTTTAGGTTTAAGGGTGAGCACTAAAATCTGACATTAACTACTTTAAAAGCACTAAAATAATTGAAAAATTAGAGATCAAAATCGTTTCCCAATTACTATGTTTAAATGTATTTTTTCTATGTATTTGTTTTTCTATTGACTTCAATACTTTTTTATCAAATATCTTTAAGATTAATTACCTTAAATGAAATTCTGAATAGTGCATTCGAAAGCACTAAAATAGCACTAAATTCCGATATATTATTTTTTAATTTTGTTTAAATATTTAAATGTGGGGGTGCTAGCTTTATAAACTTAGCACCGCCATTTTCAATGGCAATTTTCTGCTCAACCAGACGAGCACTAAAATTAGGAAGTGGGCACTAAATTAGTACTAAAATAGCACTAAATTATGATGTATGATTTTTTATTTTTTTTGATGGTGGGGTGCTAGGTTCACGCGGGTGATGTGTGAATAGTATTATACAATGAATCCTCTATAGGGATCTCTATAAATCGACCTCTACAGGGTGTTAATTAATTGAGTACCTACCGATACTTCAGGATATGAATATTTGGACGATTTTAAGAAGAAAAGTTTTTATCAATATACTGGGTGTTAATTAATACAATGTACTTATTTTAACGGGTGATTCTTGTGCTAATTTTGAGTCGAAAAGTTCATATAAAGGTATATCCTCTGAAGCTCGGTTTTCGATATACAGGGGTTGTAAAGTTTTATTTTTATTTAGGTTTTTTTTCATAAATTTGAAAAACCGTTTGCGATATTACATGGAATTCTAGGATAACATATTACGGTATAAATACGTATTTTTTTATTTAGAAAATATTTTTTTTATTTTAACCAGTGCCGTAGATATGGGTAGGTCTTGGTACAGTTTTATCTGAAAAAGTAGTAAAAGAAACTAATTCTGAAAAAACTTTCTTTAAAAATTATTGATAACCATTTCATTTTAAACAAAAAAAGTTTCTTTCGTTTTTGCCGTAGAACATATCATTTTAAACATAATAATTAAAATTCTAGTTGTTACATCTAAAAAACATCACACCAAAAACTATCTACTTACCTAAATTCATAATAAGAAGAAGACATTTTATGTACATAGATATTGTACATGCGTATTTATACCATAATTTGTTATCCTAGAATTGAATAATGTAATATCGCAAACGGTTTTTCAAATTTTCAAAATAAAAATACAACCCTGTAGGTATATCGAAAACAGAGCTTCGGAGAACATATTATTATTTGAACTTTTCGACTCAAAATTAATTCAAGAATCACCCATTAAAATAAGTACAATGCATTAATTAACACCCTGTATAATATATGTCCATAGTTTTCGAGCTACGGGGTGTTACAATTTTAGAAAAAAATAACTTTAAAAAAAATAGAAAGAAAAATAACTCTCATAATTTTCTTATTACTCAAGATATTTTGATGAAATTTTGTGGGGTTTGAACTGAATGTGTTTGAAGAAAAAATGATACGCCACTACTTTTTCTAAAAACCAAAATTATTTTTAAAATCCTCATTTATTTTGGAGCAAATTCGGTCAGCTCAAGACTTAAACTTTCGTACGACGCACCATTTTGGCCTAAAAAAATAAAAACCAAAATATTTTTTTCCTAACTTCATTGAGACTTCTTTTGATATTTTGTTGAAATTTGGTAGGCGCCCACCATGCATGAAAACATTTTTTTTCTGGAACAAAAATTAATTTTCTACCATAATCAGTGTTCGAAATTTCATAAAAATATCTGGAGTGTTAGGAAAATTACGATAGTAAAGTTTTTTCTCTAAAACTGTAACACCCTGTATCTCGAAAACCAATAGGTTTAAGACATATATTGATATATAAACTTTTCTTCTTAAAATCAACCAAATATTTATATCCTGAAGTATCGGCACTCAATTAATTAACACCCTGCATACATAAAAAATACTAGTGGAAGAATGGATATACTTTATGAGAAATTATGATATAATTATGATAAAAAAGTTATTTTTTTTCTAAAACTGTAAGACCCTGTAGCTCGAAAACTAAGTTTATAACATATAATTGATATAACATATATTGATATAAACTTATAACTGATATAAAATAATTAAAATATTCATATCCTGAAGTATCGGGACTCAACTAATTAACACACCCTGTATATGAAATCACCAGGAATAGAAATTAACCCTCAAATACAGTTGCCCTGATTTCCCATTCATAACATTTCGAAATTATACACCGGTGTATTTTCCAATCATCCATCTAAACACGATATGTTCGCATCTCGAAAATTACGCATTTCCTTTTTGGTTTCGCTAAATTCGTAATTAATATTTCAGTCCTAATCTACACGTACGCCTAGAAGCATCCGAAATCCCATTAGCATTCGCGCCGATGCTTCACCTTCTTACCAAAGATCGCCGTCAATTGCGCTTTTTGCTATTTTAATAAATGATTAACGATTCGCATTAAAGGCTAAACGCGTCCCCTACCATCCCATTATTCAATGGGAATTTCGTATAAATTTGTTTCGATTGATCTTCGATGTTATCAGTGTCCCAGTGATTTGCTCGCTACCATCTATAAATTCAAACCGAAACTTTGACAAAATGTTCAAAATTGTAAGTATAATTGTTTTTCTAATATACAAGGTGTTTACTTATGTTATGTAGTTATTTTAATGGGCTAATTTTGAGAGGAAAAGTTCATACGAAGTTTAGAAGCTTCAAATAGTTTTTATTTATTCTGATTCATATAAGATTTGCACTATTTTATCGAAGTACGTGGGTAGGATGAGAAGTTCTCGATCTGATATAGGTACACTGAAGGTATATAATTAATTCTAGAACAATCTAGAACCATTTATAACACTCCACAAACTAAAATCAGTTCTAAAATCATTTAGAACTGTCTAAAACCATTTAGAACGCTCCAAAAAAACTGCCTAGAACCATTTAGAACGCATCAGAACCATTTAAACCTCTCTAAAAAAATTATAACATTCCACAAACATATAACATATAACTGTCTAAAACCATTTAGAACGCTTTAAAACCATTTAGAATGCTCCAAAGCCATTTATAACGTTTCAAAAAATCCATCTAGAATCATTTAAAACGCTACAGAATCATTTATAACTGTCTAAAACTATTTAGAACGCACTATTTAAACCCCTATAGAGACATTTACAAAGATTCGGAACCATTTAAACCTTTTTGGAACCATTTAGAACGATTCAGAACCATTTAAACCTCTATAGAACCATTTAGAAAGATTCAGAACAATTTAGAACGCTGCAGAATCATTTCGAACTGTCTTTAACTAAAGATTTTGACAGCAAGAAGAACAATGTAATTTTTCAAATGAAAATCGCGGTTCCAAAGCCATTTAGAACGCACCAGAACCATTTAAACCTCTCTATAACCATTTATAACTCTCCACAAACATATAACTGTCTAAAACCATTTAGAACGCTCCAAAAAACTGCCTAGAACCATTTTAAACGCCTAAAACCATTTAGAACATTCCACAAACATATAACATGTAACTGTCTAAAACCATTTAGAACGGTTTAAAACCATTTAGAATGCTCCAAAGCCATTTAGAACGCTTCAAAAAACTATCTAGAACCATTTAAAACGCTACAGAATCATTTATAACTGTCTAAAACCATTTAGAACGCACCATTTAAACCCCTATAGAAACATTTACAACGATTCAGAACCATTTAAACCTCTCTGGAACCATTTAGAAAGATCCAGAACCATTTAAACCTCTCTAGAATCATTTAGAACTGTCTTGAACTAAAAATTTCGACTAAATGAGAAGCATAATGTAATTTTTCAACTGAAAATCGCGGTCTTTCATTGTCAGGCCGGGAACTTTTCCATGTACCAAATTTCTATATGCTATAGATAGAAGAATGTACAATTTGATTGGATTTTTTCAGTGTCTTGTAGCCTAAATGCCTAAAACCATTTAGAACGTTCCGTAGTCATTTAGAATGATCCAAAATCATTTAAAACTGTCTAGAACTATTCAGAACGCTCAGAATCATTTAGAACTGAAATGATGAATGAAAGGAATGAGAATAATTTGGAATTATCTAAAACCATTTAGAACGCTCTAGAATCATTTGGAAATGTCTAGAACCATTTAGAACGCACCATCAGAACTATTTAGAACGCTCCATAGTAATTTAGAATTGTCTAGAACCATTTAGAACGCTTTAGAATCATTTAGAACTGTCTTGAACTAAAGATTTCGACTAAATGAGAAGCATAATGTAATTTTTCAACTGAAAATCGCGGTGTTTCATTGTCAGGCCGGGAACTTTTCCATGTACCAAATTTCTATATGCTATAGATAGAAGAATGTACAATTTGATTGGATTTTTTCAGTGTCTTGTAGCCTAAATGCCTAAAACCATTTAGAATGTTCCGTAGTCATTTAGAATGATCCAAAATCATTTAAAACTGTCTAATAGAACTATTCAGAACGCTCAGAATCATTTAGAACTGAAATGATGAATGAAAGGAATGAGAATAATTTGGAATTATCTAAAACCATTTAGAACGCTCTAGAATCATTTGGAAATGTCTAGAACCATTTAGAACGCACCATCAGAACTATTTAGAACGCTCCATATAGTAATTTAGAATTGTCTAGAACCATTTAGAACGCTTTAGAATCATTTAGAACTGTCTTGAACTAAAGATTTCGACTTAATGAGAAGCATAATGTAATTTTTCAACTGAAAATCGCGGTCTTTCATTGTCAGGCCGAGAACTTTTCCATGTACCAAATTTCTATATGCTATAGATAGAAGAATGTACAATTTGATTGGTTTTTTTTCAGTGTCTTGTAGCCGCTGTATTGGCTGTTGTTGGGTCTACTCCGATTCCAGAGGCGAATCCGATAGCCAGGGCCGTCCCGGCGCCGAAGGCGCTTCCGAAGCCCGATTACTACGCTTACGCGGCTCCTCTGGTAGCCGCTCCGTACGCTTACGCTTCCGCTTACAGCACTCCGTTGGCTTACTCGAGCTACGCCTATCCGTACTCGTACTATTCGTACTCGGCTCCTTACGTTGTAGTTTGATGATTTTATTGAAGCGTTGATTGATTTTATTATTTATGTTCTCGTATTTCTCGAATAAAATGTTACATTAACGAATTTTTGGGAGTTTTTATTTTATTATACAGTGCATTTCTTTAATGTCCCCCCCCCCTTTTATTTTTTGAACGGATCAACTTAGAAAATTGAAATTTGGGATAACAAAACTAATGCATAATTACTATATTTTGGAGTAAAATTGACAAATGAAAATTTCAAGATGGCGACTGGGCGCAATCTTGGGAAATAAATTTAAATGGAAAGGGGGGTCTTGTGATACATCATTTTGAAGCTCCTGACAAATACTGTATAACTCTGGAATATAAAGTCAATATCTGCACCCATTACAAAATGGCGGAACATTTAATAATTACCTGAATACAAACAAATTAATATCAATTTTTCTAGAAATATTTGTCGCCAGATTTGACACCTTTAGACTTTTTTTATGGGGCTATTTGAAGCAAAAAGTGTACGAAACTAAACCTGCTTCAATATTGGATATACGAGAAAAAATTACAGATATTTGTAAAAATATCGACGTTACTATGTTCGAAAATGTTCGGATAGGCTGTTCTTATATCAAGAAGTTCAAGGCAACCATTTCGAACATCTTCTGAACTGAACTAAGCTTATTTCCTCAAATTATGACGATGTATTTAGGTAATTAATAAATGTCCGCCATTTTGTACCAGGTGCAGGTGACTTTATATTCCAGGGTGGTGGAGTATTTGTCAGGAGCTTCAAAATGATGTATCACAAGACCCCCTTTCCATTTAAATTTATTCACCAAGATGGCGCCCAGTCGCCATCTTGAAATTTTCATCTGTCAATTTTACTCCAAAATATAGTAATCATGCATTAGTTTCATTATCCCAAATTTCAATTGTCTAAGTTGATCCGTTCAAAAAATAAAGGGGGGGACATTAAAGAAATGCATTGTATATTTAATAAGTAGGTAGATATGTGAATTGGAAATGTCGAGAGTGAGGCACAGAAATGATTTTTCCGTTCGTTAAAATTTCATGTCTTGAAATATTTAAGGGGAATTTAAACGGAGGATTTGAGCAAGTTGTGAGTTAAATCCTCGAGAAGGTATACAGGGTGGCGCATTAGTATGGTAAAGCTCGATATATCTGGTGCATTTAGAATGCTCCATACTAATTTAAAATGTTCCAGAAGCATTTAAAACTGACTGCAATTTATAACGCTCCAGAAGCATTTAGAACTGCCTACAACAATGAAAACGGGCCACCTATAAATTTTTCAAAATCGGCTATATTTCTTATACTTTTTGATTTTAGTTTAATCTTTTGATTTTTTTTATCGATAAAGGACTCTCTCTTAATGCAAAAAGACAAGAATATGTTAGTAAATTTTAGCTTAATAAAACATAACATACATAGATAAAAAATAAACACATGTATTATTAGTAAAATTTTTGTTAACAACAATAAAAAAAAACTCAAAACTCAAAACTTAAAATACACTTTAATATTAATATATAAATTAATTATAGGTACGGTAGGTCTCAAGAAGCATTTAGAACTGTCTAGAACCATTTAGAAAGCATCAGAACAATTTAGAACGATCCATAGTCATTTCGAACGCTCCAGAAGCATTTAAAACTATTTTGAACCATTTAGAACATTTTAGAACCATTTAGAACGCTTCAAAAATATATAGAACCGACTAGAATCATTTCGAAAGCACTAGAAAAAGACAAAAAATCGCTGGGAATCATTGAGAACGCTCCATAGTCATTTAGAATGCTTCAGAATCATTTACAACCATCCACAGCCATTTGGAACTCTCCGGAATCATTTAGAATTGTCCAAAATCATTTAAAACGCTGTAGGAAAAGATAAAAATTGCTATGAAAGTAACGAAAACAACAAATTGTAGTTAAAACGTGTCAACTACAAATAGCGGAATTTTTAGAGTAGCGAATCTATGGCAACAGCGCATCAGCCATAAAATTCCCCTAGTCAAATGGCAGAATTACCATTGGCACTAGGGACATTTTGAACTGCGTGGAAATTACTAAAAATGACATCGTCATCGATCGATTAGGAAAAGAAGAATTAAAATATGATGTAATTTTATTTGTGAATAACATTTAGTAGATACTAATACTAGTTTATTTATTGAGATATTTTGACACTTTGGTTCAACTAGGTATGTACCTACTAAAGAATATTTATTAATTTCGTGTGTTTGTATAGCGCAGGAACGTTAGTTATTTCAAATTGTATTTAACATCATTCTTCACTTTGGGGCATAAAACATTCACGAACGGCTCTTATTTATTCGCAGGATTTCTATTTTTTATGGTTTCGAATAGAACTCGGTGTTATTTATAGTTTAATTGCACAGAAAACGTTGCAGAAACTCACCAACCCAGACACTTCAAATTATATTTTTTTGGTTTCAATAACAATTACATCGATAAAAAAATAACCTGTTGTACAGGACAATAATAATTTCGCAGTTTTATCCACTCAGATTCCAGTGTTTTTATCTTTTCCGCTTTATACGGGGCTCATAAACTTCGGTCTCCCACCGCTAACTATATTGTCCCATTTTTTTTACAGACTCCTAACGCAGATCCGCTTTATTTATTGGGCCTCTTCGGGTAAAACACAATGCCGGCGAAATTCCTGCGAAACTCCGCCAAAGACAATAATGGACTTTCGGGATAACAAATCAAAAGTGCTTTTCGGGGAGCGGCAGTCGTCGAAATCCGGATTTTTGTTTGCGGTTATATTAAGAGTTTTTTTCCCTGCTTGTTTTTTTCGTAGATTGGTTCCGAAAGTTTCCGGGCTTCCAGAGGCTCACCGCTTTCGGTAAAAGATTAAAGTTTTGTTAAGATTTTATAATGAAAATTATATCAATATTATACTTTGAACAAAACCCCTAGTAAATTGCAAATTAAAAATCCATAAAACTTTCTAACTTCTACAAGTATATCCATTCTTGCACTAGTATTTTTTATGTATGCAGGGTGTTAATTAATTGAGAGCCGATACTTCAGGATATATTTGGTTGATTTTAAGAAGAAAAGTTTATATCAAAATATGGCTTAAACCTCTTAGTTTTCGAGATACAGGGTGTTACAGTTTTAGATAAAAAACGTTACTATCGTAATTTTCTTATTATTCCAAATATTTTTATGAAATTTCGAACGTGGACGTCACTGGTAATAGTAGAATATTAATTTAAAAGTGTTTCCATGCATGGTGTGGGCCTACCAAATTTCAACAAAATATCAAAAGCTGCAGTCTCAATGAACTTGGGAAAAATTGTTTTGGTTTTTATTTTTTACGCGAAAATGGTCCGTCGTACGAAAGTCAGTATTCTGACCGAATTTGCTCCAAAATAAATGAGAATAATTTAAAAAAATCTTTTGCCTCAAAAATGCTCCTTAAGGCCGCCAAAGCACGCCCTCAAATTCATAATTCGTAGGGTAAAATAGAACTATTTTTGGTAAAATTTTTCCACAATAGATAGGATAAGATTAGTTTAACTCATTAGTAGATGTTCCGTGTTTGATTACATTTGACATAAAATCAAACGTACAAGAAAGTAAAATAAGAAATCCTTTTCAAAATATTTTAAATTCAATTCTTATCCCTGCAATTTGAGAAGATAAAAGTATGGTTTTAAAAATACTCATTAAAGTGCTCTAAAAGTATTTCGGTGCACTGGAAATACCTTATTTCATATTACCTGCCCTTAAGAAATTGCAAATTATCCAAAAATATCTGAAAAATGGAAACTCCTGGCACCGCTGTAGCTAGTCAAATTACCAAAAATGTTCTGTGATTTGACATTTAGGTCAGGCGACGCCATAATTTACAGCAATCTATCATCATTATTGGCTAAAATACTTTAATAAGTTTTTTTTTCAATTTTTCAATACAGCCTGTGGATGAATATAAACTAGGAGACATCGTTCTGTAATAAGTAATCTTCATCCTACTAAAATTATTCACACATTCGTTCGAGGAAACTCGAGTCTTACTAGAATTACTTTTTGCCATTTAAATAGCATTGCAAATAAATGGCAGTTTTTGATTGTAATTATCTTAAATATATAATGAAGTAGGAGAGATTAAAAATAGGAGATAACATTGCTTGGAGTCTCTATATTAGGTATAATAAAGATTCAAATCAATTGATGAAATCAAATTAGAATCTTACTGGAATTACTGAACCTATATTTTCCGATTTAAAAATACCCTGAAGTGGCGGCCTTAATAATTAAAAAGTGTGCACAAAATTTAATAAAAAAATATCTGGAGTAATAAGAAAATTATGATTAGAGAAAAGTTTTTTTACACGCCCTTTTTAAACATTCTATAGCTCAAAAACTAAGAAAATTAGGACATATTGATATAAACTTTTCTTCATAATATCATAATATCATCCAAATATTTTCACCCAGAAAGTATTGGCACTCAATTAATAAACACACTGTATATTTATAAAAACGCGTGTATAACTTATAGGGCAATCCTGAAAGTTAAAGTGTGAACAAAGCAATAAAAATACCATCGGTTGGTTCACTTCCTTTAGAGTGTTATCAACTCCTGGCGCTTTGAAGTAGCTGAGAGTATTTATTCGGTTGGCGAAAAATCCCGCGTTGTTCGATATAAATACGATGAAAATTTTCCGCGTTTTAATGCGGAAGCCGAGGCAAGAGCGGCACAAAAGAAACTCTCGTTTTATTAGATCATGACTGAGAGAAAGACCTTTTTATATCTCCCGTTTTTTCCCGTTTTATTGTCGAGCAGAGCGAATATTTCAATGCCGGTTCGAAATTACGGCCAATAATGGGCTTTTAATGGTAAATAAAACAAAGGAGAAGCTTTGGAGAATTAGTCTTCTCTACTAAAGGGGGGTGTTGTAAAGGTATATTAACTTTTAGGGTTGCTGTGTGACAATGTGCTTTTCACAAGCTTTTTTGTACGATATACAAGGTGTTAATTAATTGAGTGCCAATATTTCAGGATGTAAATATTTGGTTGATTATAAGAAGAAAAGTTTATATCAAAATATATGTTCTATAGCTCTTAGTTT